ATAATCCCAACTCTACATATAAAATGATGGGGTCTAAATTAGCTGTTACCACTCAAGGAAGAGATCTTGGAGTCATTGTGGGTAGTTCTCTGAAATCATCCACTCAATGGGCAGCAGCAGTCCAAAAAGCAAACAGACTGTTGGGAATCATCAAGAAAGGGATAGAGAATAAGACAGAAAATATCATGTTGCCTCTATATAAATCCATGGTTCACCCACATCTTGAATACTGCCTGCAGATGTGGTCGCCCCATCTCAAAAAAGATATATTGGAATTGGAAAAGATTCAGAAAAGGGCAACAAAAATGATTAGGTGTATAGAATGGCTTCTGTATGAGGAGAGATTAATAAGACTGGGACTTTTCAGCTTGGAAAAGAGGCGACTAAGGGGGGATATGATAGAGGTCTATAAAATCATGAGTGGTATAGGGAAAGTAAATCAGGAAGTGTTATTTACTCCTTCTCATAATACAAGAACAAGGGGTCACCAAATGAAATTAATAGGTAGTAGGTTTAAAACAAACACAAGAAAGTATTTTTTCACGCAACACACTGTCAATCTCTGGAACTCCTTGCCAGAGGGTGTTGTGAAGGCCAATACTGCAAAAGGTTCAAAAGGGAACTAGATAGAGTCATGGAGGATAGGTCCATCACCTATTAGCTAGGATGGGCAGGAATGGTCTCCCTAGCCTCTGTTTCCTAGAAGCTGGGAATGGGCGACAGGGGATGGATCACTTGATGATTCCCTGTTCTGTTCATTCCCTCTGGGGCACCTGGCATTGGCCACTGTTGGTAGACAGGACACTGGGCTAGATGGACCTTTGGTCTGACCCGGTACGGCCATTCTTATCTTCTAAGCCACCCCCTGCCCAGTGACAGCAGGGGCTTTGGATCAGGCCCTAAGGATGTGGATTCAGGCGTCTGCCTCGTGTCTATGCACAGTTGTGAATCACCCGCTCGTCTGGGGCCGAATGCGCTGCGAGGGTTCAAGGGTCCTAGTTAACCACAAGCCAACCCAGCCTGACCTCCCTGCCTTCCTCTCCGCGCGTGGTTAAGGGCTTCATGCTCGCTAAGCGCTGACAGCCCAGAGATGCAGCAGCCGCCGGTACCAGAGCAGAGGTGGATGCAGAGCTTAGATCTCCTCACTGACCGGGGAACGGGGGGGGAGGGAGCTGGGGAGATTCATTTTTACAACAGATCCAGGACTTAGGAAAACCTGAACGGAAAGGGTAGGAGCTAGGGAGTGACGGTGGGGGTGGAGCCAGCCAGAGAGTGACAGGACACGGGGAGAAAACAGGGATGGGAGGATGTGGGGATACCAAGGAGGGCACCACAGAGAAAGGAGGCACGGGGAAGGGATCTTTGGCAGTGGGGGGGGGTTATGCAAATCAGGTGTGGCATATTCAACAAATATACAAATCATGAAATTAGGTTATTTGCATGGAGGCTTCTGGTTTCCAGCCCTAGCAGCTCTGGGGTGGACGTCGGCCTGCGGCGCCCTGCCAGCCCGGGGGCTGCTCTGAGCTGGGCTGAGTTGCTAGGTTGGCACCAGCTGCTAATGGCCCCTGCAGCTTCAGACCTGGAGCTTGTGCCGATCGCATCAGCGGAGCAGGGCTGGGACTGGTCAGTAGGGTGACCAGATGTCCCGATTTTATAGGGACAGTCCCAATTTTTGGATCTTTTTCTTATACAGGTTCCTATTACCCCCCACCCCCGTCCCGATTTTTCACACTTGCTGTCTGGTCACCCTACTGGTCAGCGAGCGGGAGACCTGCAAGGGGAAGCCAGGGGCTGCCCACATGGGCCCAGGCTTGGTCAGCCTCATCCCCCCTGCTCAGCGCCTCCTGCTGGAACCCCCCTGGATTTCCCTCCTGGCCTGAGCAGCTGCCCTGGCATCACGCCCCGCGCTGCGGCCATGCTGAGCGTCACTGGATCCCTGTGACCAGGCCTCTGGCTGGGGAACGGCCCGGCACTGGACTCCCAGTGACTCAGGCCAGAGTCTCATTGGCACTGAGCCCCCTGACCCCTCACTGCCAGCGGGAAGGGGCCTTGCCGTGAATGGGAGTGCCCTGGGGACCCGATCTCAGGCCCTTGCACACTGGAGATAACAGGGGCCCTAGTGTCCTGAGACCCCGGCCCTCAACTCCTAGCGTGACAGGCTCTCCGGTGCAATAGACAGAACCATCCAATATTGCAGGAGCCGTGTCCGTTTCAGACCCACCCGCCGCCCCTCTCTGCCCTGAGCAAGGCCCATGAGAGGAGCCTTCCCCAACCCGGCACTCTGGGCTTGCACTGACCGAAGGCAACGTGATCCCTCGCCCAGAGCCCGGCTGGGTGTAGCCCGGCGCTCAGAGTGACGCACCCTGCGGGGTTTAGGGAACTCGGCTGCTTTGAGCTCACTGCGCGACTTACCACAAAAGGAAAGAGCGTCTCGCGGGGGAAGTTGCAGAGCTGTGGGGTGGGTCATTTCTCTGCAGCTCCTCGGCACCATCAGGGATCGGCCACTCAGCCAGACCCTGCCGGCCAACCCACTCCGGCTCTGTTCAGTCAGGACACCCGTTATACGGACTGACGGCCGCCCGCTCTGCCTGCCCCTCGCTGTCAGGATGGAGGGGGCTCGACGGCCTTCCCTTCTCTTCCTCCTGCTGGTTTTACAGCCCGGCGGTGAGTGATCTGTCTGAATTCCAGGGCAGGAAACAGCGTCACCTGCAAACCCTGAGCCTGGACCCTCATCATCCTCGCCAGCAGCTGGGGGAAAGACCAGTGGGGAGCTACACGACCCTGAAGAGGCCAGAGTGGCCGGTGGAAGGGTCTGGATAAGCCCCGAAGAGTTGCGGGAGTTGGGGGAGTGTAGACGACACTAGGACAGAAAGGGATGGGGGTGATTCTGGATAACGAAGGGAGAAACACAGAGAAATGGGGGGGCTCTGGGGCAGGGAGACAGGAGGACTTAGGAAGGGGGAGGCAGGAGGAGATGAAGTGAGGTTGAGGACATGGGGCTAAGCCCTGGGAGGGGCGGAAGGGGGACTCCAGCGAAGTGGCCGTGTTGCAGTGGGTGATGCCTCTATCCCTGTGGGTGGTGGGGTGGTGCAGAGGGGTAGCGTTATTTCTGCTGTCCAAGTGCCTGCTCAGGTTCCACATGGATTATTGCTTCTCCCCCCGCCCCCTCCACGCTCCCCACCCTCGGCACAGCGACTGCCGGGGACAACAATTTTCTGAGACTCTGATCTGCCCACTGAGCGGAACGGCCCGTCCCTGCACGTGCACGCCAGCTGGGCCCCACACAGCATGAACCATGGGACAGCCACGGGACAGGTGGAACCCTTTGGTCAAGACAAGCAACGGCTGAGATCTTCCAAGCCCACTGGGGAATGGAGCCCCATAAAGGGCTGATTCTCCATTGCCCAGCGTGTAGGGGGAGAGCAAATATCAGAAGGTGGAGTAAAAAAAAAAAATCATGATTTAATCTTGTATAAGAACCTCATGATTTTTTCGGGGGGAGAAGGGGTCTGACTCCTGATTTTTGGGGCTAGCAGTGCTGCAGATCACAATGGCGCCATTTCACCCTCGCTTTGCTCTGGGGGAAATGGCCCTACAAGGTGCAGAACCCTGGATCTCAGCCCTTCGTCCTTTTCACTTTGCCTCTCCATTTCCTTCTGTTTCTGCCCTTCTCAGTCAGTCCAGCTGTAACCACAGCTGGGGGGGCTGAAACACCAACAGAAATGCCACTTGGGTCATTTCCAGCCTGAGCAGCAGCTAGAAAGGGCAGGATGACGCCAGTCCCAGGGGAGAGGCACCCTAAGGGGCATGAATAGTTTGGAACAGGACCCTGGGGTGCTAGATGCTTTACTCGCCCGTTTGAGGTTCCCCTGGCACCAGCAGGACCTAGCTGCTAGAGCATCTGGCAGAAAATTTGCAACATGGAGACAGGGGCAAGACTATTTTTGTGATGGTGTGGGCAGCATGACCCCCTCAGGACCCGGAGAAAGAGATGGGTGTGTGCGGACATTTGATAGAAAGCATCAGCCATTCAATGGGCTGTAATGAAATCAGCCTCCCATGAGGCTATGCGGAAAACCCCCTGTAACAGCTGTAACCCACTCCAATCCAGGGCGGGCGTTTGTCCCCTTCTAGTGGCAGCTCCACCTCAAAGGGTCAGAGCCTCCTACTGCTACCGGGTCTCTATCCCCCAATAGTTGATGCATTCAAAAGCCACCCCTGGATCCCAATCTGACCACTGGCCCCTCACTCGGCAATAGCCCAATCACAGCCCCAGGAGTGGGGCCTGGCCATGGGGCGCTGGACACCATGATATGGGAGGGTTTGGGCCCAGCTCCATAGGAAATGGAACTGTCCCCGCCCAACCCCGGAACAGCAACCCCCTGGTTTTTGAGAGAAGATGTCACAAGGGCTGGGGAGGGGAACTGGCCTGGTGTCCCCGCGACGGGGCGTGTGGTCGATCTGGTCCTGAAGGGTCCTGTTCTCTCTCATGGGGCAGGGTACATCAGAGCAGAGGCAGGCGCGATGGAGCTGAGCGGGATTCTGGGAGGGTCGGTCACTTTCCCTCTGGAGATCCCAGCAGCAGAGCAATTCGAGAACGCTGT